ATAAAGAAATTGAAGACAAAGAAGACTGAAGAGCTATATATAAAGATAGAGATGTTTTAATTATAATAGATATTATATTAACGAAATCGATATTATAGTCAAATGAAATGTATATATAAAATATGAAAACTGTTCTTCATAATCTATCATACCACGCACCTCTGTCTGACTGAGATATGAAAATAATTTATATATATAAAAAAAAAGTAATAATCAAGGCCGTTCCTGCCTTGAATTTAAGAAATCTATCATTTCTTTGCCTCTTTTACTAATCTTTGCACAATGTTTTTAAAATAAGTTAAAAATTTCACTCAAAAAAAACAAATGGGAAAGTAAAGATGAATACATACAATTCGGCCCTTACGATATCAATTAAGAGAAGTTTAAGATGCAATTTTGGATATCTTAAATAACAAAAAATTGAATTAAAATAATCCAACATGAAGTGCCAGTGGTATGTTATGATTATGTTTAATAATGAAATGCTAGAATTTTTTTTGCTCTCTATGATTTGCTTAATAGTATAAATCACATAAAATGCCCAAAATAAATAAGTAAAATGTTTCAAAAGCCAAATATTAATTAATGATAATAATTTTAATAATAAACTGTTGAAACAGGTAAAATAATTGAAAGGGGGGTTGAGGACCCCGGGAGCGTCCCTGCTAATAATGTATATTAAATTATAACTAAGAAAAATGTAATTTAGATTTTATAATTACCAAAAACCAGTTAAAATATGATACGAAATTATGAAAATTACAGGCAACATTATTGGAGCAATTATTTTGGGTGGAAAAATCCAAGGTAATATTGCACTTTTATCGCGGATAATATAATTTTTTTTGAATTTATCATACCGTTCAAAAGACTTCAATTTCCATAACATAGTATGGAAATTGAGACTCAGCATTTTATTTAGAGCAGTTCTACATTTAACATCGCTAATATTGATGTATATGCATTTTAGTGTAAAAAGTAATTTAAAAAACAATAATTATTATTTTTAGGCAAACAATATGTATGAGTATAGGATATTAAAAATTGTAGGCGTGGGTACAGGACAACGTCTGCCGGAGTCATCTAGTATATAATACACACACACATATATATATATATATATATGTGTATATATATATATAAAAATATATATATATATATATATATATATTAAACAGACGTATATAATTTCTATTACCGTTACTATCTTCCGGTACAGGACTCTTTCCGGCTTCGGAGACATCATCATCATCACTAGAAATATAATCACTCAAAGGACTACTCGGCCTAAGTTTTTCTAAAATGATTTTAGTCTCCTTTTTTTCTACTTTGTCATCATCATCGTCGCTGTCGCTGTCCAAATCCAAATTCGATATCGCAAATGCTTTATCGGCTAACCGAGTACAACGAATCTCTGAAAAATAAAGTTAATTATGAATATATATATATATATATATATATAAAGTAATTCCTTTACTACCTGCTTCATAATCGTCATCATGACACTGCACCAGCTTTTCCTCAACAAACATCTTCTCCGGTATAACAACTTTCTGTCCCAAAACACAACTTGATACATTTGATTTAGTCTTCAGGTGGCTTCCAAAGCCTATCACAGAATTCTCAACATTGCAATCGTCCTCGACAACGGTTCCATCGAATAAATATGAATGCATAATTTTAACACGTTTTCCAATCCTACAATTCTTTCCAATGATCGAATTCGTGATGTAAGCTTGTTCTTGTATTTGAGAGTTTTCTGAAATCACGACGTCTTCTTTGAGATTGACAGACCTAGGAGAAACTAAATTTAATCAAATTATAATATACTAGATGACCCGACAGATGTTGTCCTGTACCGATGTCTACAATTTTTTAATATAATATACTAATAATTATCGTTTACCTAAAAATAATAATTATTGTTTTTTAAATTACTCTTTACGCCAAAATGCATATGCATTTATAATATGAGCGATGTTAAATGTAGAACTGCTTTGAATAAAATGATGAATCTCAATTTCCACACTATATTGGAAATTAAAATCTTTTAAACGATATAAAATAACCTTAACCATAAAATAACACTTGCACTTCTCATCGGATTAAATTAATTTAATCTTTTATTATTTAAGGTATCCAAAATTGCATCTTAAACTTCTCCTAATTGATATCGTAAGGGCCGAATTGTATTTATTCATCTGCACTTTCCTATTTGTTGTTTTAAAGTGAAATTTTCAACGTATTTCAAAAATATTATGCAAAGATTAATGCAATGCAAAGATTAATTAAAGACTAGTAAAAGATGCAAAGAAATTATATATTGAAAAAAAAACTATATTGAAATTTAATATACGAATCTTGTGTTGGCCCTGATTAACACTTAATTTCATATTTTAAGCAAATTAATTTGTCATATCCTTTTCATATGTGTATCATTCAATCTGCCATATATATACTGTATTTTATATTATTTTAATTTCTTGCACATCTAGCTGCCTTTTGGCAATAATAATATAGACATTTCATTTTACTTATTCATAATCATAAATTTATTGTACATATTCTAATATTGTCTAGGCTCATAAGTAAATTGAAATTTTTGGCACATGATATTTTTCATTTGTTTTCAATGCAAACAATGACATGTCGTTCTTTGCATTTTTTTCCATTTATTTCTATATTATTGCACAAACATCCCAGTACTTTATAATCACATACATCCTAGAAAATTTCCTTAACAAACTTCAGAAAGATTTATCAAAATCCGCATAATCGTTTAGGAGGAGTATACAGTGAGTGAGTGCTTGTAATTTAATATGAACTTTATATGATAGCAATAAAGCTCAAATTGATTCTACTATTGATTTTAGTTAGAAAACGTTTGTATATGAAAAAGAAAAAGGCTGTTTTTAGGGTTTTGAAAAACAATTAAAAAAAAGAATATGCCAAAGTGTAACCAGGAGTTATGCGCTTACCAACACATTTTGCGATTCATTTTTATATATAAGATGTACATATACATGAAATTTAAAGTACTCACCTGCCAAGTACTGATGTTGATGATTTGTATATATTATTCTTCAACATCATATATACTTGTTTGAATAATGAAATTCCCATATTCGGTACTAAAGGATATGTCCATCTGTTTACAATATCATGGCTGAAAAAAAAATTATGATTAGTCAAACTAATTTAACTCTGTGTTAAATTGCAATTTTGGATTTATTGTGTTTTTATTAAACTGAATTATATAATTTCATCTGCCAAATATAAACTGTATTTCATATTATTTTAATTTCTGGCATATCTCAGGTGCTTTTCGGTAATAATAATGTAGGCATTGCATTTTTCTTGTTATATATTATATTCTAATATTATTTAGGATCATAATTTCACATAAATTCAAATTTTTAGTAAATTTGCATTTCTGGCAAATGACAGTCAATGTCAAACAATGATAAGTGTTTTTTTTTGTAATTTTTGCCCTTTATTTCTACAATATTACTATAGTTTTATTGTTCATTAAATCTTAAAAATTTCCTTTGACAAACTCTAAAAAGATTTATCAAGATCCGACCATCAGGATTATAAACAATTACCTCACAAGTTGATACATTTGCCAGTTATCAACCCTCGCAGCATAACTATTATGAGTCAATGGATAACAATACAAGGTGCTCCCTAAAATTTCTTCATTGATTAATAACCCTCTAATAAAATCATCACGAGTTTGAAAATCAAAGTTGTCTGTAAACAATGATAAGAAAACTGGAGAACAAATAGCAATTCCTGGATCTTGTACATCATGGTGCATTTCTACTTCTGGGTGATCCAAGATCACTTCCTAAAACATAAGTGCAAGTGACATTTTGTACAAATGTGGTATGAATATTTACATTTACTAACCAGTGGCAATGTTATATTCCTCTGCTTCTTTTCAGGCCTTTGATGATATAAAATTCTATTATTAGAAGCATCCAGTGCTAAAATAACATCCTCGGAACACGACTGTCCATATCCGGTTGTTGTATAAACTAGTGTCATTGCAGCACCTTTATCCTTCTTACATTGTTGTCTAAAAAATAAAAAATAATTAAGATGCGATACATGATAATGTTAACTTAAATGAAGATATATACTTGTGAAATTCCATGACTTCTGATAAATTGACATTTGTGACTGTATTAGCTCCTAAAAGTACAAAATTTGATCTTAGTAATCCTTTGGCATCTAAATCTCTGATAGCATCTCCGAAGGAACGACAACCGTCAGAACTCACAATTTGTATGGAAAGTGTAAGAGACCAACTGTGACGTGATTCAATACTTGAACTATAAAAAACAAACAGCTAAATGTAGTTTATGTATTTTGTATATCAATATGGCTTTTACAATAACATACCTTATAAAGTCTTTAATTTTTTTAATATGTGTAGAACAAAATAAAAATACTTCTTGAATACCAGACAGAGATAGAGCCTCCAACGTGTAATCTAGTAGTGGTACATTTACTATTGGAACCAAAGCCTGGAAACAAAATTACAAATTGGTACTTGGTAAGTAATGAATTTTAAACAATATCTTTACAAAACCGCAGATTGTTCATATTACAATTCCACAACTTACTAAAGGCATTTCATCAGTCAAAGGAGCTAAATTTCTGCTGAAATTATCAGCCAAAACAACTGCCTGCAGTACATCTTCTTGTTGAACAGATTCTACTAAGTTTTTCTTTGCGTTTTTGTTACTCATTTTGCACAAATTTAATTTAAAAAATATATAAGTTTTGCACAACCTGCATTAACCTCAAAATGTTTGAACCAATTTGACGTTTAGATCAGTATTGCCAGATGAGAAAGATATTTATAACTAGAGACTTAATTTTGTACACCTGAAATTTTAATACTATTAATAAAACAATAATAATAAATAAATTATGATTTAAAGATTTCACGCTAATTTATTTGATAAATTCGAATAATTTGAATCGATAAAATGTATCTGACTTCTAGATTTTTCCTCTCTCGCTCGGTATAAATCATCTCCTCTGGCAACACTGCCAGTAATGACATTTGATAGCACACTTGGCATGTCAAATAATTTACAATTCCAACAATATTTATACATTTTCGTATAAATTTATTTATAATTTAAACAGTTTTGAAACGCCAGCATATGAATTAAACTCAATTCAGTCTTCCTAGAGATCGGGAATGTTTAACATATTAAATTCGAGGATCAATATTTCATTTAACCAGGACTTGTACTAGGATGGATTTTGGATCGTTATTACATGTAGCGAAAAAAAATGAAAATGTTAAAAAGAGGTATTAATTTATTAGTGATAAATATAAGGAATCAGAATTTTAATGATTTATGAAAGGGCTTAGTCATAGTGTTATACCAGATTGAATTTTTGTTCGTTGAAAAATTTAGATTTTGTGGACAATGAGTGGATTTGAGTTGTTGAAAAAAATAATTTATACAATATTATATAATTAATTAATATGAGACTCTCTCTCTCTCTCTCTCTATATATATATATATATATATATATATATATATATATAAATGAATGGTTTGTAATATAATTATTAAGTACTACTATACTATTTGTAATATTATGTACCAAGAAAATTTCACTTTTAAAGGACTATGTCATAAAGTTCTATTACCTTTTCGAACTCTTCTAATAGCATTAATACTAATGATCAGATCACATTCTTTTACATGATTCGTATTCAAATTCTTACATTTTTCAATGATTATTTAAAGAATTCTCTTTTGTCTCTTCGACTTGGTTGATAGGATTTATACATATACGTGTATAGCCCAAGTGGTTTTTGTATTCAATTTTAAAAATCACAATTTTGTATCTTTTACATCAAATACTACTTCTCTATAAAACATATTCAATATCAAATATTTCTATAACGTAAATTTACTCAAAATAATTTTGTTTCCTCAGTCTTCACTCTGTTTAATATTTCTATTTATAGAAGTGTTTTTATTTTCATTTCAATATTTCTTTATAGTCCATTCACTTACAATTTTATTATACGACTTATTTTATTATTTATATTCTAATCCTTTCATTTATAATTTTTATTATATAACATTTTATATTACACTCACTTATCATTTTTATTATTTATATTAAATTTGATTCATTCATATATTTTTTACTATTAGATTTGTTCATTTATTAACTTCCCGTAGGATAAGTTATTGTAATCATCCAAAAATCTAAATTGACAATTTTTACATTTCTTCACGGTTCAAAGGTTTATAATTCAGTTTAATATTGTATATGAGTCATTTAATCGTAAGAAATATATCCTCAGATGGATTCATTAGTCATCTCTTGTTATTGTAAACATTTTCAAGTGTTTTGTGCGATAATATTGTGACTGTATATTTTTATGAACGAATGCATATATAGTAATTATAATAATCTCTTTGAAAATATTTAAAACAATTGTTATTAATCATTGATCAATATTTATTGATTATTGTTTATTATTATGATTTTTTTACTCAAATATTTCTGGTACGAGAAGTTCTAGCAATTTGCCTTAAGGCACGATGCCATGCAGCACTAGTTTTTTTTTTAATTTAAAAAAAAAAATTTTGAATATCGAAAATAATTCGAATTTTAATTGCAATTCTAGCTAAATTTCTAAAAATTCATTTATATACTTCAAATAAATAATTTTAACTTAGCAATTCAGTTTGTACAATACTTATAAATATTAGACAATGTTCTTTATTTTAAATTCGTTTTGTTTATTTGGTTCTCTGATATAAATATAAATTACAGTATTTATAATAATCTATTTGCAAACATTTAATATTCCTCGAACATTTCATTTCATTACGGTACGGAAAGTTCCAGCAGTTTGCCTTAAGGCACGATGCCATGCACCACTAGTTATATAATTAATAATTATAATTATTTTGAAAATTCATGTTGTTAAAAATTAAAACACACTTGTAAAAGTTCTTGAAAATGATCAAAATCTTGGATTTGTAACTTCAGTGTAGTATTGGTTGAAAAGAAAAACCTCTCGCTTTATATAATCCAAGGGCTGAAAAATTGGACAATTTCAATATAAATATTCAAAAATTTTTGTCATTCTTAAGACATTGCTTTTTAAATATTCTACAAGTTTTAAGACTCAAGATTTTTTTGCAAGCCTACATATCAAGACCTTCTTGTTAGGACACTCAGGACCAATATCACACTGAAGTTACAAATCCAAGATTTTGATCATTTTCAAGAACTTTTACAAGTGTTTTTTTTTTTTAATTTTTAACAACATGAATTTTCAAATAATTATAATTTCACTGCTATATATGTAAACAGTGCTCTCCATACAAATAAGCACTGAAGATGGGTCAAATCAAGACCCGAAACGTATGTTTCCTGAATAAAAACATTTTCTTTCAATAAAACTGTTTTTAATTACTGGATGGATGCCCAAGAAGAATTTTATTATATTATTTCACCATCTGAAGAAAAACCTCTCCCTTTATATATATATATATATATATATATATATATATATATAACTTGTCTTTTCCTATTTTCAGGTCAAATACTACTCTACCAAATTCGAGCCTCCCAAAAAGGAGCAAAGGGACAAGACCCAACTATCTATTAACATCCAAAAGTTCCTCGCCAAGAAAGAGGAAGAAGAAAAACAAAAAGCCTTAGAAGCAAAACGCAAACGCGATGAACTCCTAGCCAAACGCGACCCCAAACTAAAGAAAAAGATCTTAAAACATCTCAAAGTATGCAAAAGTGCAAACAAATCAGTCCTAGCCGATGCCATAGATAATGAAAACACTGCTGTCACGATACAAGGCATGGAGCAACCAGACGAAGACGACTATGGATTCGTTTCTGAGGCTGCTTCTGCTTACCACAATAAAATTATGGAGAAATATTACAGCAAACCGGAGGAGAAGAAGTTTTCAGATCGTATAAAGAATGTTAACAACGATTTGACCGGGATAAAAGACAGAGTTCGTGCTGCAATAGAACGCGAAAAAGAAGAAGCTTTGTTGCCTCATAAGAGACACCGCAAGACCAAAGCTGAAATGGCTGCCTTAAACGGTGATGATAGTGGTTTGAATTTCGGCAGATCTGTTCTCGCAGATTGTTACAGCAATGAACCTGAAAAAAAGCTTGAAGTCGTCAAACCTAAACCCAAACGACCTCCGATGCCCCCGCCTTGGATTACACACAATTACTTAAAATCGCGGAACAAAAGAAAGACGAACCTATCAAAATTGAACCTAAGATCGAGAAAAAAGAACCAGAACGTTTGATGACCAGCAAAGAACGCCGAGAGTTCGAAGAAATGCAGGCAAGGAAACAGGGACGCAAACAAAGAGACTTGGATCGCTTGCAAGCTATGAAAAACAAGTCAAAAGGTGCCAGCAGTAGTAAATCTAGTGAGGAACAAAAACCTAAACCGGTTGTAAACAATCCGAGTGGTAGAATTCCTAAACTTAACGGCTACAAACCGAAACCAGAAGCTGATCGGCAATCCAAACCTTTACCAAATGACCCTCAAATGCGACCAAAACCTAGCCAAATATCTAAACCTAGTTTGAACAACTCAAATACGAAACCAATGACAAACGGTTCTGCAAAAAGTGCACCACAAAAGCAGATAGCAGAACCGAGAAGTTCTATTAAAAGCTCAACACAAAAATTGAATGGAGATGTAAGAAGTAGTGATAAACTTCAAAGCAAACCGAGGACGGTGGATGGTTTAATAAATCCAAGGAATTACCTCAAAGTCTCGACCAGAAGTTGCATCTAGACCGGTGACGGTGACTCAAAGCCTAAAATAGCCTCAAAAGGTACCATCACTTTCTTTCT